CTCAATGATTATCTTAATTATATTTTAAATTTTTTATATTTAAAATGAGATGTTTATCCTGTATTTGATTGTGTTTATTTGCAGTTAGTTACACGAATTCAGATATGGGATGAAATCGGATAGAGATGAACGGGTTTAAGAGKTTTTAAGAGTTTAAGAGTTTTAAGAGTTTTAACCAAATGTTTTATAATATAGTATAGATTAAATTAGAAGAGTACTCATGCAATATATCTTGTTTTTAATGTTTCGTTTTATATTTTGGTTCTATCGATGTTATAATGTTTTGACAAAACGAAAATGTTTTTATTTTTTAGTGAAATATAAATTTAAAAAAAAAATAATCGATATTAGTATCAAATTAACTATTTAAAAGTTCTCATTTTTGTGTAATTTCTTCAATTCAATTACTATTATAATTTAATTAAAGTTTAACAACAAACTAATTTATTTCTGCATTAATAAAATAATTTTTAAGATAATAATTAAATATTATGTTAGAAATCAATTATTATCTTAATTATATTTTAGATTTTTTATATTCAAAATGATATTTATCATGTATCTGATTGTGTTTATCTGCAGTTCATTACACGAATTCAAACATGAAGCTTTAATAAGATGTACTCATGCACATTCTATTTGTAATCTTGAATTCTAAGTAATATACATCTATAAACAGTACTTCATACATAAAAAAATGATTTTTAAAAACTTTTGTCAAATATTTTATAACATAGTATAGATAAACCCCTTCCCCATGAACCCCTTAACTCACCCATTTTTCATGGTGACCCACACTCCCTTCCCGTTCAACAGCAACCATCTTGGACTTCATGTATCACCATCATCGACCAACACATTACTATAGAAGGAAACTACCTCTCTTCTCAAAGCGTAAACGAAAAACGTAGTTTACTCTTTTGAACATTGAGTGTTTTGTAGAGAGGGGAAAATATTGATTTCCATCAGCCTTTTAATTGGGATATAACTAATCGTGGTTAAAAAGCGTCATCACATAATCGAACATAACTAGTTTTTATTAGAAAAATCTTACAACTAACTCATACTTTTTAGGCATGAAAAAAAAAACGAATCTTGAACCATAAAAAATGTGAACGGAAAACTGCAGTAAAATGAAAGCAATTATGCTTTCGTTTTTATTTTAGAGAACCAACTTTTAAATAAGGAACTTATTGACCAAATTCATGTTCCCATTATAGTAACACAAACAAACTTGGTTCTATTTTGGCCTCTCAAAACGAAAAGGTCAGAGAATTGGTTTTCAAAGACGTAGACACTTTTCCATAATAAGAATGCATAGTCAAAAGTTGGTTCTATTTTGATATAATTTACTCCAACACAAACTGACAACGAAATATGCAATCGAAACCATAAACGAGCATAATAAAGGCCAAACAATTTCCAAGCGAACCATAGACAAGCATAATGCAAAGGCAATAGAATTTCCAATTGAACCATAAAACGACCAATTAAACAAATATACAACTTTATTATACAAGTCATTGTAGCGTTATAAAGTTTATCCCAAGTGAAAAGATAATAATAAGTAGCCTTATAGTAATTCAGGGGCAAAACACGAGACTTGAAACAACTGGTAAAGTTTATCATCTGTAATTTAAAATCGCGTTTTGCGTTTCAAGAAAAAAAAAAACCTTTTGCAAATCACACGAGAACATCTACACATAGAGATTCCTAATGGATGCATTGTGGTCGCCTTTACGAAGGTGTCTTATCATCGGGTATGTCAACGCTCGCAACAATGTTGGCACTTTGTCTTGAGGATACCGATCTCGATATATCACCCGGCTTACCCTTGCCCGGAGCACCTGCTGGTGCTTCGGTTGGATTCCCTAAAGTCTTTGTTTTACCATGCACACTTTTTTCCTTTTTCACTGCACCTTGATGCCAACTCTTGAGAACTTTCGATGTTTGATCATCAAAAATAGACCTCTTCATCGTCGAACCCATCTAAAATTTTCAACCAAAACGTAACAATTAAGATACATATCGTTAGATGATTCTAGAAAGACTAAAAACTACATTCAAAGAGAACGAAATTTTATCATAGATTAGGGAATAACAAGTCCAAACTCAAAACTTTTAAGTTTATATCGTCTTTCAGTAGTTTCTTTTTTCTATTTTAGCAAATATACGAAATTACCTGAGTAACAAGGGCATAGAGTGGAAGTATGCTATAGCTGCATAAGCCTTGTACGAAAATTCTGTCAAATAAAATGTCGATAAACGTCATAATAATAATAATAATAATCCAAAATCAAGGCAACACACTAGAAAAACACATTGTACAAAAGGGTCGAGAGAGGGCTAGACAAGTACAGATACCATGCGAGAATGAGCATTAATGGTTCTGATACTAAGTGAGAATATGGAACCTCATTAGATTACTGTCCAAAAAAGCCCTTTCGGAGAGAAGGGAGGTTCTAAAATATATTAATAAGAAATGGTCCAAGTTTAGTTGATGTGAGACTCTAACATCAATTCGCAATTATGGGCCAAGCCTGCTTTTCGATAGGTTTGTCAAGTTTAACATATGAAACGAACTTGAACCTCGTGGACTAGATAGGGATCGATGAAAGTTCGTATGCTATGTAGTAAAAGTAATGGAACGCATTAAGAACGGCTTCGAAACTTACCCTATAAGGACTCTACCGTACTGAAGAACCGGATTCTCATGAAAGCAAGTATCGAGTCCAAACTCATACTGCGAGAAATAAAAACATCTCAAGCAGTATTCATTAAAACCGAATGGAAAAAGTATTAGAATAATTAAATACGATTACCCATATCCAAAAGAAGTGTGTTATCTCAAATGAATTCTGCAGAACAAAAAAAATACATCACACGTTACGACATTCTAATCAATGCGTTTTTTTTTGGCATCTTAGCAAGTACAACGATTAGACTGATTCACTCGTCGTTTATTAAAACATGTATCATAAAATCTTAAGAACGCTACAGTTTTTGCAAATAAATACCTGGAAGAGTGTGAGTTGAATTAGATATAGAATTAATCTCGGCTGATTAAACCAGAAGTGTCGATCGGAGAGTTCGACAATCGGTATCCCTTGTACCACAGATTGTCGTTCTTGAATTTCAACAGCCATTTGTGTCACGATTGCTTGAAGCTTTGTTCCAACGGCTAAGATAATCTTTAGCAAAATCAATGATTAGTTATTCATCAAAGAAATCTACTTCAAACACAAATATAGCAATTACAGTACATAATAACTGAAATTTTATATATTCATGTTGTTATATCATCAAAAGTTTCTCCATAAACAATTAAACCAATATTGTAATCCCTTTTACAAGTTTTCCATCATCGAAGATCGGTTATATTGATTATAATACATATACTCCTAATGTTTCTCAACTTTTTATTATATATATAGGTTGGGTTCACGTGATACCAGTCTGTTTTCATATGTCTCACGAAAACAGGCTGGTCTCACGTGATTCTCGGTCAACCCGGGTTTGGAAATCATGTTCCCCGTCATGTTCTTTTTACTTTGAGCACACCAAAAAAACACATGTCTGGATTATTTTAAAATATTTAAAAAATGATGAATTTATTTATCCAATAAGACGATTAACAATAGAAGATAAAAGATGCTTACGAATACGGGAAATAAAGAAAGATAAGTCATAGCACGAGCTCCTGCAAACATTACCAACGATTACTAAACAGTTAGTAGTTAAGATACAACGAATAACATTTTTAATCATTATATCTGGTTTGAACGTATTCACCAGTTATTATACTTTCATATATGCAAAAAAACAACTGTAGTTGACAAGAATTCATAAAAAAAAATACAAGTTAATAATTATAACGGCAATTTTACGCGTTATTGTCAACTACTATAGCCATTTTCATGTTCCCAACTATGATGTTCTTAAAAGAAAATATAATACGTCAAACCAAATACAATGATTAGAAAACCGTATTGATCCTCTAACGATACAAAAGATAGATGTCTTACCGTCAACGTTTGCAAAAAGAAAGAGGACTGCAGTAGCCCATAATAACGGACTGGAATTGTCATAAAACGTGGTCAGATCGATATGAAAAATAAGAGCAAACGAGTTTTTATTATTATTTGTAATCTAATTCCGTCACAAAGTTGTCATGAAATCATTAATTTACAACGAACTATAAACAAAAAAGTAGAACTGATTCTATTTTAAAAGTTATGGTCAGTTCACACGTAATTTAATAAAGATATTTGACTATAATAAGCAAATATCTAAAATGTCTCATAATAAGATAAAACCGAGAAAACGTGTGAACTACAATCAACATCAACGTTTTTGTAACGATTACTAATATGCAAATAGATGAATAATTACCTGATTCCTACAATTACTTTGAAATCATCTTCTAATGACTTCTTTATATACTTTTGAAAGTTGAAGTGACTCCCAGGACTTAGATGAACCTATATACGAAAATTCGAACAAAATCAGTATAAAAAATATATACATATTTAGAGATGGATAAAAAGCCCAACCCGAAGCTTTGTTTAGTCGGGCCCGAAAAATCTTGGGCCTAGTGAGCCTGAAGCACGGTCAAGGACAGGCATCAAAGCTCAATGAGACCGAAATTTTGGGCCCGGGCCAAAAAACCCAACCAGAAAAAGCCTAAAAAAGTTTGGCATAAAAAAGCCCGATTGGACCATTTTTCAACCCTAGGGTCGTTTTCTTCCTCACTGAAAATGGGCTTGAGAGGCCCGGCCCCAGGCCTGAAAATGCGTATCAAATTGTAACTATTGAGTTTGATATTAATAGTTAAATAAATTCAAAGTTACAAAAGTTTTGCACAATCATAATAAATTAAAAGTTGCTCCTGCTACCTAGCCGAGAGCCTTAAGCTTGAACTCACCGAGAAAAAAGCAGTACGCATAGCCAAATAATCCGATTTACGAACAGACATAAAAAATTGCCGAAAGAAGCAAACCTGAAATGAAAGACTTTTTGAATGTGATCGAGTTGCTAACCATCATAATTCTCGCATATTAGCAAACTAATCATTTATTTGCTAAAATACGGCAAAATAACACCTGGTTATGATTTACTTACAATGTAAAACATCGTTGGAGTTTGGGTGAAAGCACCGGTGTGATGTTTTACGAAAGATAATTCCTTTGCAAGCCGGTATTTTAATGACTCTATGCATCAACATGACATGAATCTCATAAATTAGTTGGGTCAAAGACATCATATATCATGGGGCAAGTTGCGTTAGAAACCTAAAATTGATTAAGAAACCGGAAACCGCCACAATGTGACACGTGGAGTATTCATCAGAGAAATATATGGACGTGTTATTCATCATAAATATTGTAACATATTCATCATGAAATGTGTGATTCATGATGAATAATACATCCATATTCATCATAAAAAATTTATTGATGATGAACATTAATCCTGAGGAGTGAAGAGGTACTCACGTCGGGTTGTGAGTCGTTCCCAGTTCTTAATCAATTTTGGGTTCCTAAACGAGCTTCCCTCATATACCAAGATTATTAAAAATAATATGCAAATACTAAAGCTAACAAAAGAGTGAGTAGTTTATTTCAAAAGGACTACTGTTTACTGGTGATATTTGACTTAACCGGTACTAATTTATTTTTTTTGGAACAACAGTTGTTGGTACAACAAAACTGAGTTTATAAGACGCCACAAACGTGAAAGTGTCAGATTGCTCTATGGAACTTAAATATATAGGACCAAACAATAAAACGTTCTTTCTAAAGTGTTGCAACAAGTTTATAGAACGCTTTTAGGTATCTCAACAAGATTTTTACTACATTTTTGAAATAAATTATCATATTAATTTTTATGACACTATTTGAAAAAAATGTCTTGTAAAAACAAACGTCATATAAAAATATGTGTTCATTGGACACTCTCCAAAGTGTAATCTAAAATAGCTAAGACGACATTTTATTTTAAAAAAAATCCTAAAAACTTGTTAAGACGTCCAAAAACGTTCTATACTAATTTAAACAAAACCCGATGGTATCAAAATCACTCATCCTGGAGATGGGGTAATCATAGGCTTTTGATCACTATAAAAGGAAGTTTAAGTACCATATACAGTTTTGCCTTTTTAAATTTAGAAACGTGTGAAAAAACAACCATTATATTTGATACAGAAAAAACACTAAAGTATGTCGTAACTAGCGATTTTGAGTAACATTTAAATATATTCTTAGTTTTCAACGAAATCGCAAGTAAAATAGTTAGAAAACTCGTTCTATCATATTGCAAATAACGTAACAATGCAAGTAACAAATACACCGATGATCATACCACCATGCGATACATGTTCCTGCAAAATATCTCGTTCCCAGTATTTCCACTTGCGGGTCTGCATTCAACAAAAGCGTAGCTTTTAAGTAAGCACATTATTAACCATTATATTTGTGGTTTCACAACTTTATTGTGGTATTTGTTAATATGAAAACAACGGGTATCTGCACCAGAGTGTGCTAAATTTTAGCAAAAGTTACAAGTAAGAACGGCCAAAGACGGTTACTTCAGTATTAAAAAAATAGGTTTACAAGACATCAAAAATTTATTACTGTCATAATAGACTACTTTATAAAACTTTAAGATTTAGAACAATTGCATGTCCTATATAAAAAATGTTACAATAAGTTTCTATGACGTTTTTGGATGTCTCACTAGGTTTTTTAGGATATTTTTGAAATAAAGTATCATATTAGCTTTTTTAAATGACACTTTTAAGAAGTATCATATATGAGCACACATTTTTATAGAGCACTTATTTTATAAGACATTTTTTTTCAAATAATCTCATATAAAAAAGTTAATAAGACCCTTCATTTCAAAATTATTCTGAAAACTTGTTAAGACGCTAAAAACGTCTTATAAACTTATTCTAACACTTGTACATATGATACACAAGTGTTTAATGCTATCAACTTTTTATTATTAAAAGATCAGTCCTATCAACTTAAGTCTTAATAAGCAATCGTAAAATATACGAGAATAAACCATTCATACCTTTATGCTTCCGCAAATCATCGTGATTGCACTATAAAATACATGAAAACATGCCAAGAAAAATATAAAGATATGCAATTGATGTAATCCAGCAACTGATATAATCTCCTCGTATCCCTAGTCACGGTTACAAAAAATATTATCATCGGAGTAAATTTAGGAGGTCGTAAATTAATCATTATATCTGGTGTTCGCAAATCCATCCGCAGCTTCAAATATTCGAACAAAAATCTGTTATCCCCAAATTCCCAGTCTCCTTCCTATATCACCAATTACTTGAAGACATAACATTATTTTTGTTTAATATAAATTTAGTTAATTCATCTTATTATCCTCTCTCCTCAATAAAAATGAATGATGTGGCTTCACGCACTACAACAAAATCGGATTTATAAGACATCCTAAGTGTTCAAGTTTCCTGATAAAATACTTTATATAACTTACGTTTATAAGACCAAACAATTATGTGTCCAATGTAAGAGCATTTTAAAAGATTTATACAATGTTTTTAGGTGTCTTACCAAGTTTTTTAAAACACTTTTTGTCGTATAAACATATATTTATATAGGACACTTGTTTTATAAGACACTTTTTGAAATAATGTTGTATAAAAGGCTAGTAGGACACTTACTTTTAAAAGTGTCCTAAAAAATTTGTTCAGACGTTCAAAAACGTCCTATAAACTTATTACAACACTTTTAAATAAGACACCAATAAAATAGTCTAATGACATACTAGGACATTTTTGGTATCCAATAAACCCAAATTTGTGACAGTGATGTGATTGGTAGACAAAAAAAGGACACATAATTTAGGGACAACAGATCTTTATTGCACATATTCTAAGGGTAATTCAAGAAATCAAACAAGATTCTTACTTCTTTGCATTCAACTGGTTTACCACCTGCCAACCTTCTTTGTTCATACCATAATAATCTCCTTCTCTCAACCCCGTCACCTTCCTCAATAATATCACCCTCCTTTTCATATTTTTGTTTCTTGCATGGCAAGAAATCCTTTGTAAGATTTTTCGAAACACATATCGATGCAATATACGTCTGGCTAAACGTAAGAAGCAACGAAATAAACCCGAGTACCATAAGCTCTGGAACGCCAATTAAATACAATTCCAACGTAAGATAACAGATTTCTGATAAACGTTGATAAAAAAAAAAACCTTAACAAATACCGTTTTTGATCTTTTCGAGTGCTTCCATTAGCCCAGGTTTATGGCGTTTCTTCAAAAACTAAAACAAAATTATCAAATGTACGTCAGCAAGAGAATTATCAAAATAATTGTCTCGTAATCTTATCAATTACATCATTTCAAATAAACAAGTCGTTTTTTGAGAAACTAAAACAAAATAACCTTACGCATGTCAGCAAGATAATTATCAATAAACACTACAACAAAATTAGGTTTATAAGATGTTTAAACATCCTAATAGCATAGTTTATACGACTTATGTCTATAGGACCAAACTATAAAACGTCCTATTTAAAAGCGTTACAATAGGTTTATAAGACGTTTTAACAAATTTTTTGGACACTTCTAAGATAAAGGGTCGTTCGTGTTAGCTATTTTATAAAAGTGTCATATAAACACATCTCACTTATCTTATAAACTCGCTAATATGATACTTCCCTATAAAAGTGTCTTAAAAAAGTTGTTCAAATGCCTAGAAGCGTCCTATAAACCTATTGTAACACTTTTAGATAATACGCTTTTTGATTTGATCCTACAAGTTTAAGTCCTAAGAGTATTTTATTAGGACACTTAAACATTCTAGGCGTCCTATAAAACCAATTTTCTTGTAGTGAAATGTCTAGTAATCATATCAATTATACATTATTACAGGAAAAAAACACAAGTCTTTTGTTCAGAAACTAAAGCAAAATAGCGTTACGCATGTCGACAAGCAGAATTATCAATAACTATCTCGTAACCATATCAATTACATCATTTCAGGAATTAAAAAACAAGTCGCTTTTTTCGTTCAGAAGCTAAAACAAAATGATGTTATATATGTCATCAAAAGAATTATCAACGAACGTCTCATAATCGTATCAATTACATCATTTCAGATAAACAATTAAAGAGAAAGAACAATTTGATGGAAAAGGTGTAATCAATTCATTATTCCTGTAATAAAACTTCACGATATAATTGATACGAGTATGAGATTGTATATACAGATGTAAAAAAATGTTTAATTTTTGGATCAGAATAATTACATGTCCCACGGTGTGAAGAATATGTTCCAACAATACTGAGAGTATGACGATGACCGCACAAACAATGGCAACGGACCACGTTGCCGTTTGATCGAGCATTCGCGCATCTCCATCCCCCGCCATTTATACGTTATTTGCAATTAACGTTATTGATTCACTATCATATCCTCCTTATATGTTCTTGTTCTTCCCTTTTGCCACCGTCAACAATTGCATACGATCGAATTAAATCCGATTGATTTGGAAGAAGAAATTAAACCAGATTGAAAATGGGAATGAAAAATGTTTTAACAAACTTGAACCGGGTTTTGTTTGGATTGAAGAAAAAGCAATTAACGAGAGTGATAATAGGGGATTTAGTTATATGATTTCAAACCACGGCCACAACAATTTTTCTGAGTAATTACGAAATTATAAACACAAAAGATTTAAAATATTGTGGTCGGTAACTTTCCGATAAAATGCAACAAAATTTGTCTTAATCACCGAAAAACATTTTTTTGTCTGGTTCCTCAATCAGTATAACTACAAATTCTCCTATTTTATGTTACATTTGATGACATGGATGTCGGGACAAGTTAACGTTCACCTTGTTGCAACTCTTAACATTTTGTGAAAACCTTTTATAAACAGGTATTCTCATCGTTATCAAATGTTACAAGATTATCAAATTTCGTGTGAAATAAGTACAAGATAAGATGAGGGGTCTAGGTGAAAATTAAAAACTTGTTACAGTAGCAAAATAAATTGAAAAGTGAAAAAGCTGACAAAGCACCACTTCATTTGAAACAATTTCAACATCCTCACCCGACGGGTTACCAAACCCGAACTCAAAACCGATTTCGACCAACCTCCATCAATGAAAAAATTCAAGCTGGATTTCATCCTAATTCAACCAAGGAGACTGTTTTCCTTGAGGACTGATACATGGGATTAAAATGGTCCCTGGCAGGCAGTGGGCTGCTCAAATCACCAACAACACTATGAACACAAGTTTAGGTATTGTCTCGGTAGATACGACCTTTTCGAGTCATCAAGCGTAACACTTTCTTATTGGCGTGTATAGCAAGTCATAGTGGGGTAAGAGCCACTGAGCTAAAGTTTGGAGTGCCATTTAGAGGCGCAAGTGGGGATAGCAATTTTGGAGATAAAAACTTGGTGGTTGTTGTGAATCCATGGCTTAAATCTAGTTCTAATAGAATTAGATACAAGTCTATAATAACTCTAATACTCAAAACTTAGGGGCCGTTTACCAAACGCTTATCCGGGTAACTGTTTACCAAGTCACATTAACTTACATGATGAATATGGTAAGGACCAAGAATCTTACCCAGAGGAGTGCAACTTATGCAAGGACCAAGAGTTTTACCCGGTAAGTGAGGACGAGGACTCTTACCACGGTTAGCGCTTACCGGGTAAATTGTTGCATACGATGCCGTTTTTGTTCACTAAAATCTTACCCTGTAAGTAAGTGATAGTGTGAAATTTTATTGGTAAACGCTTACCGGGTAAGTGTTTGGTAAACGGCCCCTTAATCAATCTTTATAAATCATACCCTCTTGTAGTCGGATAGAAATATCAAAACTTAATCACAAGGGTGGTGCATGGTTGTTTTGAGCTTAGGCTCAAAAGATCAAAAACGCCTGAAATAGATTTAAAATAATAAAAACTAGATTACCTTTTCAGTGGGTGGAGTGTCTGAATTAAATGAGACCACAGATACAACAGCAGCAACCGCGATGAAGAGAGAGCAGTGATGAAGTTGTGATTTATCTCAAATGTCGAATCCACAAACTTAAAACTGTTTTGGTGATACATGTACATGGGACCTTGTTTCTCTAAAGTCTTTGTCATACATAGATGGCTCTAATAACCACTCTGGAAAGCAGGTTATGGTTGCCGACAAACGCTTAGATCCGGCATTTGGTCAAGGAAACCCTGAGTTTTGGAGAGAGATCATCATGCTCACTCGTTACAAACATGAAAATCCTGTCTCTTTGTTGGGTTTTTCAGATGAGGGTGGTGAGAAACTCCTTGTGTACGAGTATCTATCTAACCAAAGTCTTGACAAGTATCTTAGCAGCACTGATCTCTCTTGGATCCAACGTCTTAACATATGCATTGGGGCGGCTCGCAGGCTGGAGTATCTTCACAATCCTGGAAAGACCACATACACCGTGATATCAAGAGTTCCAACATATTGTTAGATAAAAATTAGAACGCCAAAAAGCCTAGTTTATTCCTATTCGTTTTAAACATTTATTGTCATTTTCTTTTTCATACAATCTTGAAAGAAAAATATAACAATAACATACAACACATTAAACATGACCCATAAATATTTAACCATGAAAACATAAAACCCACAAAATTTAGAAAAGAAGAATCGAACTTTGAGTAAATTACGGATTTGCTTCCTATGATTTGTGGATTTGGTTTCTAGACTTCTTTTATTATTACATATATTTCCTTGTGATATGTATTTTTCTCATGGTTTTAGTCCTCCTTTCTAATAACCATTCACCCGGGTGTAAAATCTTTGTTTTAAGAGTAAATTATAGAATTGGTCCTTATGCAAGTTTTTATGAAATTGATCCTTAAACTTCATTTATTACATAGATTACCTAGTGGTATACACTTTTTTCACGGATTTGGTTTTTGGACCAAACAATCGTCAATACCCTTCGTTAACTTCGAGGGCCAAATGGTCATTTTACATTTTTAATTATTATAACATTTTTTACAGAAAAAAAAAATGAAATTCTAAATTAGGTGCAATCGTCCACTATTGTCTATGGGAGCAAATATCACCTAAATCTTAATTTTTTAGCCATTACTCTAAACATTCCATTTTACAGAGAAAAAAAACACAAAACATGACCCAAAAAACAGGTGGTCGTCCTGAGATTAGTTGGCTCACATAACAAATTGAATATCCAGGTTAATAAAAAAAAGCCATAAAAGCATAAAGCACAAAATTTGGAAAACAGGTCAAACTTTGAAAATTAAAAAAAGTCAAGGTCAAACAATTCAGGCAACAACTCTACAAAATGAGGAAACAAATCCGGTGGTGGTTAAAAAGTTAGATGTCTCTATGTAATCTTTGCTCACTTGGAACAAACACCGGAAGCTGCCCGCCCCGCTGCGATCTACCCTGCTGATAATAACTTGACGTCGTCGTCGTTACCGTGGTCATCGTGTTGTTGCCATTCTCCCTCTGACCACCACCCCCGCTAGGGCCCACAGGAGGCCCACCAAAGAAAATCGATTGACCCGTATAGGTCAGCTCCGTGCCTGAAGCCTGAGAGGACGAACCACCACCACCTACGGTCTTCGCTGTCGCAGCCGACACGAACCGCCCTGCTTCTTGGTCCCAATACACCGAGGACGATCCGGCACCTTCATTGATCACCACGTTTCTTTTCGGAACCTGTGGGACCCGCACCGGTGGTGCCACCACTGGCGCTTGTGGGACCACAATGGCGGGCGGCAGCACAGGTGGTGGATCATTATTAGCCCAAGGAGATTGGTTTCCTGAGGACTGATACATGGGATTAAAATGGCCCCTGGCAGGCATTGGACTGCTCAAATTACTAACACTATGAGCACAAGTTTCGCTATCGTCCCGGCTGGCTCGACTCGGTGGATACGAGCTTTTCGAGTCATGAAACCGGTGATGCGAACTATTCGGGCTGCTTTTCATGCTCACGTTGCTACTCGATAAATGGTCGGGATCGAATTGATTCTGTTTAGAGGCTAGCGGACGAAGAACAGAGGAGGAAGCTCGAGCTTTAGCACCTGCTTTCATTGCTTCGGTTGAATCCAGTTTCGCAAGCTTCCAAGCACTGATTCGAACAGGTCGTTGAGGTAGTCTTTTACCTTTGTCAAGGACAGCATCCGGATCGACCGTAGACGGTAGCCGCCCGGGCTCTAGATGAGGAATAACTTCATCCTGATTTCGTAACAGAGGGTAATATAGTAAAATGACAAGTTGTTAACATCATACAACTGCTTCAAATTGCGCCAGAAGTGAATAAGGGGTCGTTCATCAAACGCTTACTCGAGTAAGTGCTTATCGGAAAAATTAAACACTACCGCTTATTTACCGGGTATGATTTTAGTCCACCAAAACGGTATCTTATGCAATAATTTACCCGGTAAGTGCTAACCATGGTAAGAGTCGTCGTCTGCACTTACTGGGTAAGACTCTTGGTACTTGTCCACACTCTTATGGGATAAGATTCTTGGTCCTTGCCATATTCATCCGATAA